TCCAACTTTAAACCAATCTCATGTTAAGTAAGTACTTAGTTTCATATGAGTTTGATGTTGTTTTTTATGCATACAATTTTTCTTATAGATGTCTTGAAAAAGGAAATAAACATTTCCGAAAGCTCGGCTAAATAACGAAGAGTTCACTTATTTGATGCCTAAAATTTTGACTGCAACCCTATGAAGAATTGAACCACAGTGTTTGTTTCTAAATCACTAGTATTTTATATATATATATATATATAGATCTTCTGGTGCTTCTCCTTCTCTCTTTTTTTTCTATTTTTTCATAATGAGCGAAACTTTACTTTTATAATATTATTCATTGTAATGTTAAAAATAAATTTATATATGTTACAACCCACGCACAGGTATATCCTTCTGTGGGAATTCTATATTTATTCATCGTTATCTGATATTATTGTGATTGTAATTTTCGATTTGAATGGTGAATAAATATTATTATTATTATATTATTATTATCTAAGGTTAGTAACAGCTGACCAGTACCAACGGCTTGCATTAGAAGTGGCCTCAAAGATATGAAATGTCGTATGCCACAAGGCTCGATACTGGGACTCACACTTTTTTTAATATACATCAACGAATTATCTTTGCAACCCCTGATTGGTGATTTGAAATTGTATGCAGACGACACAGCCTTAGTATACGTCGGTAAGGATGTTACATCCATCAGAAGATCAATAGCAGATGACTTACTACACATACAAGATTGGCTGAATTCTCACAAACTAACCCTTAATATTGACAAGTCTTCGTATATGTTCATTTCAAAAATATCCAAAAGTGAAGTTGGGTCCTCTATTCATTTTGGAGGTGGCCAGCTAACATACTCATAATCAACAAAATACCTATAAGGATGTTACATCCATCAGAAGATCAATAGCAGATGACTTACTACACATACAAGATTGGCTGAATTCTCACAAACTAACCCTTAATATTGACAAGTCTTCGTGGAGCCGGGATTGGCGCAGTGGAAGAGCGTCCGTCTCACGACCGCAAGGTCGTGGGTTCGATTTCCAGCACGGGCAAGGAACTTTTTTCAATATTTTATTCACGAATTAAATATTGTAAAGTTTCGGAGCATCGGCTGGGGATAGTCCTGCACGATTCGCTGTTGCGTTCCAATTAACAGTGCTGCTCCTAAAGTGGCGCATGGAGTTAGTAACAAAGCCTACACAGAACACGCAGAAAGATATGATGATGTGGTTGTGAGCATCTGAGAAGAAGTAGGACGGTGTATGTAGGTGGGTGTGGAAAAACTACCAGCTGAGCGTGAGAGCGGGCCAGCTGCTTAAGTAGACCTCGGTCTCGGGGGTTAACGATGATAGTTAGCAGGCCTGCCACTGCGCATATGGTAGTGAGTACATTACTAGCCTACAAAACACAGCTGAAAAACTCTGAAAAGAGAGATGATGGGCGGTGCCTGAAAAGGATGTTAGCCAGCTCTCTTGAGCGAACCACATCAGTCATTGAAAACACTTGGGGTTTGCAAAAAGGTCCCATTGGGGACTAGTTGCTGACGTGGAAACGTCCCCCACCAGTACCAGTACCAGTGACAAGTCTTCGTATATGTTCATTTCAAAAATATCCAAAAGTGAAGTTGGGTCCTCTATTCATTTTGGAGGTGGCCAGCTAACATACTCATAATCAACAAAATACCTAGGACCATACATTGATGAAGTGCTCTCATGGAAAAAACTTATAACCCATGTTAAGAGAAAAATATCACCATTCATTGGAGTTCTGTGTGAAATTTCCAGGCTGATTTCATTCATTCAGGCAACAGCTATATTATTCACCTACAGTACCTTATCTCAGTATGGGGATCAGCTCATGAATCAGAAATTAATCCAGTTTAAAACTAACGACATTATGGTAAAATACGGTGAAAACATATTAAAATGTGTTTCCCAAAAGGGGATGAAATACAGATTACATATTGTTAAGCAGCCATTGTCGCTGCGACATGTCGTGTTGAAGTGAACTTGATGAGTGACGGACCTTGATTTAATTGATGAATAATTGATGAATGAATCAAAAACTTTTTCGAATTTTTTTTTTCGAATTTTCAATTTCTTTCCAAAAGCTAAAAGCAGATTACTTACTTACAGGTATGCACTGATGATGACTTAACAGTCGAAAGCGCTCTGCTACGAATATAAATTTGAATAAATTATCTTGCACGAAATACAACACTTCCCTTCTTTGGTATATATACACGTGCACACAGCCCAGCAACCCTCACTCAAGTAACAGAATGATGTCTGTAGCATGACTCTTTAATTTGAAAACAAATGTCATTCTCTGATTCACCCTTCTCATTTCTAACTTGGGAATATTGAATTTTATTCGGAGTGGCTCATAGGATGCACGATCTGGACACCTTCGATATTTTTTGTAGCGTAAAAAAAATATGAATTCATTTTGTACCGTTCCTAGACATTTAATGAGTTGTTGCTTTCCTGGGTCCCAGATGATAGATGCAAATTCTAATCTGCTACGTATAAGTGTGAAATATAGCAAAAATATGGTTTTGATATTTCTAAATTTTTATGTCGACCGCTTTGGTGAGCCTAGCAACTTGGTTGCACTGCGTGAAACATTGTTTATGTGTTTCTAAAACTTGAAATGTAACTCCTAAATCTTTGATATCAAGTGAGATTTTCTAATGTTCTGTTATCTATAAGGTAGTTGCATGTTTGAAAATTATTGGTTGATTTACTCTAAGTAATACAGTAACATTTTGGTGCAGCTTGTTCTCAACTGTCCAGGCGTGTAAAACATTCAAGTCCTTCAGTAATATAGCATAGTCATTGCGATTTTTTATTTTCCTGAATATTTTCCTCAGCATACAATAGTCATTCGAAGGATAGTTGACTTGGTATGTCATTGATAAATAGAAGGAATAGAGGAGGAACCAGGTTTGAGCCTTGAGGTACACCAGATTTCGCCAGCAATATGTCAGATGTGGCTCCACGATATGTAGCAAACTGTGATCTGTTATTCACCCTGATAGTAGTTTAACAAACATATCGCTGAGATCATAATTCGACAATAGTATGTCGTGGTTGACTTTATCAAAAGCTCTGGCGAAATCCGTGTAAATGGTATCAACCTGGCCCCTCTTCATTAAAGTACCTACTTGTATGAGGAAGCCAGCCAGATTCGTTTCGATAGGTTTATTTCTACAGAGTCCATGCTGATATTCAGTGTTGAGGTTCAACATTTTACTATTGTTTCATATTTATTATGTTACTCCGTCGAAGTTACCTCTGCATCAGAGCCACGATATCAGAGCAGTGCGTTTCGTCGATTTTTCAATGTTTCTATAGAAATATAGTTATTTATTATACAAGGGAAAAAAGTAGTAGATTTTAGCTCCAGGTTGTGGAGCTAAAATCTAATATTTTTCCCGTGTATAATACACTATTTTTTTCTGTGACAGAAGGAAGGACGAATCAATATTGAGAAGATATTACATTATTTCGAAATCTGAAAATTATCGACGTGAAATTTCAAGTTTTTAACAGTAGGGACACCTGCGTTTTATAGGCATCTTCATCATTCTTTTGAAGTAATCAAATATCTGATGTCACTTCTGTCAGTTCAATTCTGTGATTTGATTTTAAAAAATTGCGAATTCAGTAGTTGTTTAGTAATATACGAAACCGCGAAGTCGAATGAAAGATAAAAGGACTTGCAGTTCTTTCTCGGAGACGGTATTATTGACTCATTTTTCGGAACTATAGCACAACAAAAGCCATTAACAGAGTATATATATGTGATATACCGGGTGGCTACGGAAGTATTGCCTACGGAATATGTCAGTTATTGTATGAAGTAGGTTTGTGAAACTTGGAGAGTCGATATAATGACATAAGAGCTAGAATTTGAGCATATTGACATGTCGAAGTTAACTTCCGGTCTGACCGGAAGTAACATCAACTTTCTTTTTTTAAATGGAAACCTTTTTTTTTTTTTCGCTTTATTCAGCATTCAATTCCCTTTCTAATGACATATCACAAGTTGGTATCTAACCAGAAACTAGATCAGAAAAAAATTATTATTGAAATTCACCGAGTAGGCCGTGGAAGCAAAATGAAAGCCAAAAATAGAAAGGAATGGTTATGCTGAATAGTACAGGCAAGAAAAAGTTGTATGTTCCTATTTAAGTTATGGACCTACAGAGTATTGTTTTTTTCCCAATTTTTCCAATATTTTTTTTGCGGCTTTTTAGAACGGCGACGAATCAAAATAAAATATCACAGTAGTAGCAACTGTTATCAAGTGACGTATGGTTTTCATTGCCAACTTTTCAATTTTTGGCTTTCATTCTGCTTCCACGGCCTACTCGGTGAATTTCAATAATATTTTTTTTCTGATCTAGTTTCTGGTCAGATACCAACTTGTGATATGTCATTAGAAAGGGAATTGAATGTTGAATAAAGCGAAAAGAAAAAAAAATAGGGTTTCCATTTGAAATAAGAAAGTTGATGTTACTTCCGGTCAGACCGGAAGTTAACTTCGATATGTCAATATGCTCAAATTCTAGCTCTCATGTTATTATATCGACGCTTCAAATTTCACAAACCTACTTCATACAATAACTGAGATATTCCGTAGGCAATACTTCCGTAGCCACCCGGTATATCCGGGAAAAAAGTACTCACTTTTTTCCCACGGGAAAAAAGTAATTTATGGAAAGTGACATTTTATAACCTGCCAACAGAGATGAAATGCCAAACTTTTTTCCCGTCACAGAAAAAAATCAATTAATCACTGTCTGTCGAATGAAATAGATATGTCATAAAAAATCTAATTGTTGTAGTTGTATATTCTACTGAATTGAACCAGAATGTACATAAAAGCAGTCTCACTCGCAAGTATTCCTTCACCTCACAATTGGAATCAAGCAAACGCTCACTCAAGAAAAGGGCACAGTCCCTAACATTCAGTATCCGAGTTTTCACGTGCTAGTACATTTTATCGAAAAAAATGAACTCGAATAATTTAGCCACACAGTTGAGAACAGCAATGGCCCTGTAATTGTGAATATCGTTCTCATCACCTTTTTCATGGATTGGTGTGAGTTCAGTTTGTTTTAACAATTTTGGGAATATTCCAGATTGTAGAAAGCTCTGAAAAATAACCATAAGGGGATATGTGATGTACTCTAGGCAGGCTTTAATAAGATAACAAGGAATATTATCAGGCCCTTATGACTTCTTGGACCTAACTTCACGAAACGCATTTTCCATATCAGAGAGTGTAACATGAGAAAACTGGAGTATTTCATTATTGTCGTCATTATTACTATTCAGTATATCGTTTAAATTGCATGTGGAACCGTCCTCATACACAATATGAATGACTGTATTTTTTTTGGTATAGAATACCAGACTGAACTCATAGAATTGTTTCCTTAGAGTGTTTGGATGCTAACAACAGACCTACTTTGCTGTAGGTATACTCGGATACCAGGGTGTGAAGGACAACGGGAAAGCCGGCATCTGTGTTCATAAGACCAGATCCATTCTTTGCAGCCATATCATGAATACGACCAAAAAAACGATTTCTGACTGGGCGGAGAAAAAAGGACTCATGTGTAATATAGTCTGAATTACCAGATTTGACTCATTCTAATGCGTTTTTGCCTACACCATGAAAAAACAAACCCTCGGGCAGAAGATCCTAGGATGTTGCAGTAATAACCTGGGAATTCTGACAGCACTGTGCTTACGGGACACTGTCGTCTAAGATACCACCTAGGAGTGATGGGTCTGAAGCTGAACCAACAAACATACTGGCTACGTTTATACCGTATGGGTAGTTGGTATGCTAACCAAGGAGATCTAACTGAATTCAGACCAAACGCCTTAGTTAACGCATGTTTACACCATGTATCTTCCGTTGACTAACGTTACCAACTTTGTTTTAATTTGATTATTTTTTTGAGGTTAGTAGACCAACATGTTTAGGTACACCGTCTTGGTCATCATACCATTTTTGTCTCGTACGCAACAAATTTCGGTACCAAACCAAGCTGTTAACTTTACCAAGTGAAGCTATCCAAGGTCTGTCCGATTCATAAAAAAGGAAACTAGTTTGACGTTGAAAATTTAAGACCGATATCAATAATATCGAATTTCAGTAAGGTATTTGAGATTAGTCATCTACAACAGGCGGTACAAACATGTAGGTAACCTAATTTCTCCAAGACAACCGATGGCCTCATGAAAGGACGCTCTACTGTTTCGAATCTCGCGAATGTTCACACAATTTATAGCAGGAACTATAGATAGGCAAAACCATACAGGTATTATATGTATACACCGACTTTTCTAAAGCCTTTGACAAACTTTTGCTTTTCAATAAACATTTGGTCTTTCTAACTCTTTGATCTCTTTATTCAACTTGTACTCGATCCACAGAAGACAATATGTTGCGTTCGCTGGCTTGAGGTCTGTGGAGTATTTAGCCTCCTCTGGTGTTCCTCAGGGAAGCAACTTGGGACCCCTTTTATTCAATATATTCATAAATGATATCACAGACAATATCGAAGTTGAATAGCTTTTATATGCTGACGATAAAAAAATAATTTTGCGACACCAGCATTCAAGGCTGCCTTGGATTATCAAATAGTCTAGAAAATGTAGTACGGTGGAGCTGGTGAAGCTGGTGGAGCAATGAAAACAAGTTACCCCTCAGTCCTGATAATTGCAATTTTATGTTCTATACCTTGAAATGCTTACCCCACATTATATCCATATTCGATCTACTATACGACTCTGAAAAGACCTATTGTACTGAATGTTCTAGGAGTAACGTTCGACCGCAAACTTACTTTCACTCCACAAATAGAGAATATGGTACCTATCTGCAGCGAATCGACTCTGATGGTTTTCTGATTCGAAATAGTAGAGATCTTCAGGAAGTTTCAACGTTAAAAACACATATAATTGGGTCTAAATTAGAATATGCTTCCATAGTTTGGTCGCCATTATACCTGGTACATAATATTGACTTAGAAGAATCTGTACAAAGATGTACATGCCTCTCGTTCAAATGTGATAGCGTGTATCCTACAATGAGAACTACGCATAAACTATTACTCCAGAGGCATAGTGGTAATAGTCTGGATGGCCACCGAGAATGTATGATTGATGATTTTGTCCTTCTATAGAAAATTTCAGTATATTCATTCCTCGGTTGACTTTCCCCAGAACACTATATAGGAATTTGAAATTATTAGATTACTAGCTACTACACTATCTGCTGTTTTCTTATACAAATTATAGTGACAAAAATGAGCGAATATAATGATGCAACAAGTGTTTATTTCTTCAAGGTCAGGGTGTTAGCTGAGGATTAGCTTCAGCCAGAGGACTTCGGATCTCTGTCTGATCTGATGGTGACTGTCCTGCACTGATGAGCTTATGTCTCATTGTCTCTCAAATACACAATCGTGCATTTAGGACAAAAACATATGCAATCAGTATTCGTTCATACAAATCGTTGCGTAGAGTTTTCCACTCGTTATCTACCATTGTCCTTCAATTTATTGAACGCTTCATGCATGGGAATGATTTTGTTTTTCCCCTATTTATCCACAATTTCTTCGATATAATATGATATATTTCATTAGTATTTATGGTAAATTTGTATTCAACCCTTGATTATACAGGGTGTTTCAAAAAAACCTAACCCCCTTACTAGGCGGCCCGGTGGTCGAGAGCGCGAAGGCGCTGAGTTCGTATGGGGACTCTCACCGAGGCATGGGTTCGAATCCCAGTTAGGCCATGGATGTTTGTGAATGTATGCTTTCCAAACTTCGCACAAGTTTCGACTTATGGGGCGTTGGATCCAGTGCTGGGTCCAACGAGGAAATGCAATTGAAAAAAAAAAAAAAAAGGTTAGGTAGAACATTGCAAAATAAGTTGGGTTTGCTCAGTAAAAAAATGTCGTAACGCCATCCGTTTTCAAGATACAAGGTGTTGAAACAATATTTTTTTTACACATTTTTTACGATTATGTTGAAACTACTGGCAACATTGTGATGAAATTTTGTATGGATGTTTCTTGGAATTTGACACATCGCATGCATTTGTTTTTATATCTCACTCTCATAGAGGGCGCTAGTTACACGGTTCGTACCGAGTAGTTTTGAACATAACTTTTTTGAGGTTAGATTTTTCAATCCAAATTCGATGTGAACTTGAACATCATTCAATTTCACACCGAAAAGGTACTCTTGGTAAAACTCGATACTGTGTTCCGTTTTCGGAATATTTCGATTTGAAAATGATGAAGTGGTAACTGTTGCTGGTATGAAGCTATTAGAGTGAGTATTATGGAAAATTATCACCTATTTATTGAAACCGAAAACAACAATACAATTCTGATGCAAAACTCATTGAATTAACAATGTATCACAAGAATAACATCGAAACAGATTTGACTAAGAACATGGATTACACAGTTTTGTTGTATCTTGAGCAGAAAGTCTATGCTACATAGGTAAATTCACGTCAAGAGTTGTGAGACATAATTGAACATCACTTAAATGACCTAACAGCTGATCCTCAACTGTTCAGAAGAATAATACATTCTTAAAAAAAGAATATAGAATCGTGTATTCCTCGAAACGTAGGACATTTTGAACACTTATACTCTAACTGATTCAATATTTCATGTTTCTAGTCAAATATCTCTTAATTTTCTACTTATGATTCTTTGTTCCATCAATAACTTCAGCACAAGAATAATTTTATTGTTTTTGAACCTGAATAAATAGGTAATTGAACTCAATAAAATTCATTTTATACCAGCATCATTATACTACTCCATTATTTTCAAATCGAAATATTCCGAAAACGGAACATAGTATCGAGTTTCACCAGGAGTACTTTTTTGGTGTAAAATTAAATGATGTTCAAGTTCATATCATATTTGGATTGAAAAATCTAACCTCAAAAAAGTTATGTTCAAAACTACTCGGTACGAACCGTGTAACTAGCGCCCTCTATGAGAGGCAGATATAAAAACAAAGTCATGCGATGTGTCAGATTTCAAGAAACATCCATACAAAATTTCATTACAATGTTGCCACTAGTTTCTGAATAATCGTGAAAAATGTGTAAAAAAATAATTTTTTCAACACCTTGTATCATGAAAACGGATGCCGTTACGACATTTTTTCACTGAGCAAACCCAACTTATTTTGCAATGTTCTACTTACCCTAGTAAGGGGGTTAGATATTTTGAAACACCCTGTATACACTGAATACTCAATGATTCAACTAATACTGAGCTGAAAGGCACTTTACTCGTGTGTTTTCTCATTGGATCATCCCAATTTTCACAAACATCAACATATCTCGCTGAAATACAGATAAAAAGTTTTTAAACTCTTCTCTAGTTTCCCTGGGCGCCACTTTTCTAGTGTTTTCATGACATCTTGAGGATTGCGTATTTTTTTTTATTAAAATCATCTCAATATCTCAATTTACACAAAAAATAATTATCTCATCGAAAAATAAATTTTGTCTCTAGCCTCCCTGAGGAATCTTGAGACAATTTTTATGAAAAACTTACGGTTAAAGTGCCGTTAGGGGGGTTGAACGCAAATTTTGAAGACTGTTCATCGTTTATTTTCATAATATTAGTTGATTACTGTAGGAATTGAGATGATTTTATTTCAGATCAGATCTTGGAAAAACACAAGTAAAGGTAGAAAAATTTAAAAACTCTACATCATGTTTTTTCATGGAAAAACTTGATTTATGTGAGAATTCAAATGAATTGATTTGCAAAAATACCCAGTCCAAAAGATTTTATGAAAAAACACACGAGTAAAGTACCTCCCAGGGGCGAAAGAAAAAACTGTAATAACTTCTCGTGATGACAATGATTTGTTCGCTGAAAATAGCCTGCGGACTGGCATTTTATTCCAGCCCGCAAATTATACCCACCCCTGTTTTTGTTTCTGTGTGCTTTTCTACTTACCGCCACATATTTCTGTTTGGCATAAAAACACATCCCGATATTGTTCCATAATGCCACAGAATCAGGCTGGTAATGGATCGCCGTTTTATATTTTGTCAACGCCACGTCGAATTCACGATGTTTCTGAAAGGAAAAAGTTATAACTTTTATTATACCTATAGATTAGTCCTGTCTACTAGGACATCTAATGCTCTTTGTTCTGATGTGAGAAACTGACAAAAAAGCATGGGAGACGCTGTCAAATACTTTCATGGGACATTTATTTCTTGATGTCTTGATTAATGTATAGCAATCCTAATAGAACCCATTCATTTTTCTGTCATCTCCTGGAAAAATATCGTAAGGTTTTTCTAAAAATTATTTTCTCCAGAAGATTTAAACCAATGAGAACGTTCAATTAAGTCAAGCTAACTTGTATAATTTCGAATGTAGGTACGTGGATATACATAGAGTAGTTCCACCAATCAGAAATATAGAATTATTTCTATTTGCATAGTTACCAAATTGATGAAATAAACCTCTGGTGTACGCACTTCAATCCTTTCCTGTTTTACAATTCCTTGATTTTCGCCTACTTTGATGAACATAACATGGCGTGGGTGAATGTCGCTAAATTTAGTCTGGTGCCGTACCAAAATTACAGGCATCAATGTGACAATCGTGACCGAATTGTGACCAATGAAGATAGGGAATACATTTTGCGATTTAGCCGCATCAAGGTTGGTAGAACTGATGTTGATCATAAGTTCTAAGAATCACGCCATCTAACATTCGATATGTGAACCCCACGTCATCGTCTGAAATTCAATTGTTTATATCAAGAACCAGTCTGACGAAACAAATGAAGAGTGAGCGCACCAGAGGTTTATTTCATCAATGTTACCAATTAATAGTGTTACATACAAACAAACCGCGCGTAGTCAAATTTTGACGTTTCTTTCCCACTAAGCAAATTTGGAAGCTACGTTGATGCAAGGTTATAGCAAATACTGAAATGGATGTTCAGCAATATTTCGAATTAATGTAGATTTGTAAATGTCACGTTCCAGCATTGTCTCAGCAACATGTAATATTGCTGCAACGTTTCATTAGCAAACTCCACCTTTGCAATATTGCTAAACGTCCGTTTCAGTAATTGCTTCAACATTGCATCAACATAGCTTTCAACTCTGCTTAGTGGGTCAGAACAACTCAAAAAATAATCGCATCGAATACAATTCGGACTTCGAATCTTCAAGTTTATACATCTCAAACTTCCTACACAATAATTACAAAGCGTGTCAGTTTAATCTAATAATCATCCCGTTTCGCGGTCGGATATTATTTCAATTGTTGAACTGACACTATATTTGTAATTATGTAACAAGTTATCAATGTATAACCCGCACATTTTGAAGTGCTTATAGTTTTACTAGTGACAACCCAGTAGGTTGGCTAATCGAGCTGTGTATACTTTCATAATAATTTATAATAGTACTCACTATAGATGAATTGAAACTATATAAAATGATCGTTCTATCCGATATCAATATCACAACATAGTTTTATATATGTATGACCGACATCTACTAAAAATTGGCTCCTTAATCTTAAAGTTGACTCTATATCTGATTTTGTTCTCAAACTCCTTGTTGGTTGATTTCATCACTATCGATGCTGCAAATATTGCAACAATATTTCAGTTGCATTTGAAACCTTCATTTGGAAATATTACAAAAATGTCGTATTCGTATATTGCAATCCCATTGTTCAGAAATGTTGCTGCAATGTCACTCGTATTATCGAGATCCATCTACAAATTAATTTTCTCAGTCAAATATCACATATGATTTCAGACATTAGTTCTGTGCTATTGTTGAAATAACATTGCGATAATGTCGTATCCAGCATATAATATTATGAGACGTTGCATCAATATTGAAATAAATATAATTAGCTAATATTTTGATATGTTAATTTCAGGTTCTTCAGATATAAGTAACTCAAACAGAGTTGATATGTTGTTTTTCGTTTCAGTAGGATGAAAAACTGATTAAAATTGTTTCATATAATACTATATTATATTATAGTAACTCTAGAATGTGTTATTGTGCACTATATATATTGACTCTACTAGTGCTAAACTTCGCTCTGAAAGTGTTACTGACTTCCATTGATTAACACTGTTAGAGTTGTTAAATGTTCTACTTATCAAGTGTAAACTCAACACTGTTATTGACACTAGCTCCTAGTGTTGAATAGTGTTAAATATTAACACTGTATTTCGTAGTGTGACGTGCGTGCATTCATATCTTCCGCGCACTCTTTATTATGTTGAAATTATGAAATGATCCAAAACAATGAAATAGTTTCACTGTAAGTATTGGTATTTTGGAAAAAAAATTAGATCACACAAAAATGATGAGAACGTATCCATATATTTCCTAAAACACTGGTTCCACCAAATAACTCCCAAATTTCCTTGAATCATCATATATTATGATCAATTTGCAACATTATTCAAACGATGAATCACAAGGAAATCTATCTGAACTTCACCGGAAGTAAATCAACATCTTATAACAAAAGTATCAAGTTATTATTAGAGAACGTGCTAAAAAATAGGAAAGAGAAAGTATGAGCATCAAGACAGAACTGCTCGTCTCACGAACGCAAGATGCAGGAAGTCCAAGATAGTATGATTATAATTCAAATCCAATTTCTGAAACTGTGAAATTGCAATAGTCGAACAACGTGAAAATCGTCCTATATCTGTTTTGAAACAGATGGCGGGGGAAATTATAGACGCAATACAATTAATCATGTCAGAAAAGTACCATCAAGATCAGGAAGGGATCATAATCACCAAAGTTCTGAACAATAATTATTGAATCCTGTACCGTTACCACAGATAAATCTTCCACAGCATAAGGTCCTCTGACAGTTTCAAATACACAAGTAACAGTTCTATATAGTTGAATGCATATTATTTTGTGATCTTCGATATTGCCCTGTTTTGTTGAGTTATACAACATGGTATAACTCAACAAAATAGGGTATAATTCTTCAATTTTGGTTCTTCTTATAATCATTTCTTAGAATATTTGAAATATGATGTAACACAATATATCAGAAAGAGCGTTTCTTCTAATGAATCGATGCCTGCAAAATGATATAATTTCAGATTTCTACCAGCACCTATAGAACAATTTTTCAGACGTATGATAATCTTCACTCGGATTCAGGTGATTTACGACGGTTGGCTTTTATTATTTATTGTCAGATTTCAGTTCGTTATAGTTTTAGTTATATTATAGGGAGACGAAAATTGTGTATATCATGAAGAATGGCTGAAAGAATAACTGGACTTCAGGTTACTGATGAGGATATGATATCCGAAATTAATTCATATAACCTGTTTGTGAGAGATATAATTCCCATATCACTGATACGAATGAATTTTTTTTTCGAAGTTCCAAGCTCATCAAGATCAGAGTTCATGCAAGTATACTTCTCCTATACATTTCAATTTTCATTTCAATACTAAACATATCGGTGAGTTATATTTTTATATCATAATACATCATATTATTCTATTCGATTTGAGAGATGATGTTAATTCTCAATTTCAGAGGATTTTGATCTTTCATGCTTTCTTTTTGGATATTCAACAGATATAATTCAAAGTTCGACTAATTTGAGGTTAGTAATATATGTGTTATGATTGTGATTTAATATTTGTTCGGCTACACACGATTTATCTAACCTGTCATATTTCAAAAGTGCTATGGCTATATATTACTGGTGTGGAATTTTCAGTTGAAGACAAACTGAAAGCACGGTTCCACAATAGGTGTTATAAATTCAAAAAAATAACTTCGCATAACAATATTGATGATTGTTTATCAACAAAATAGGACCGATTTGGAGTGGCAGAAACTTGAATTGTTTATAGTAGGTGTTGTTCTCGAATATGAGTGACTTTTTCCTGACATCAGCTGCCCTACTACAGCGACAACATGAGCCCCTAGCTCCAAACAATTTTTCATCAAATTTCAACTATTGTTGATTCTATTATAAGTGAATAAACAGCAATGGCGGCTCCTCAGAGGAGGCAACGGAGGCTGAGCCTCCTCAGAGATTTTCCTTGAACTGATATTATCTATAGTTACTCATTAAAAGGACACCAAAATACATGGATTTTGATTTTATTTCCTGTTTTTAGGTAAATATTTTTGAATTGGCAACAGTGCTTGCCCACGCATCACACGTTGAAGTCTGCAAATCACTCGTAAAATATTCAACTTGGCAACATCTATGGGAGGCTAGACTCCTTCAAAAATCGAAACCCACTCGCGCAATGCAAATGCCCGAATACGCCCGAATAGCACGTGTTAGTCGTGTCGCGTCGCGAATTGCGGGCATTGTTCATGTTTATATTGGGTTAATGGTTAGGGTCTCTATAAATTTCTGAAAAATTTAGTGGAATACTTTTTGGTGAACCCATTCAGTGCTTTGTCTTATGAAGATAAATTGATTGTGAAAAACAAACGTTCGACACCGCGATTAAAAAATCTGTTTGTAACAGGTAACAAAGAAAAACTTTCGATCAATTCTGATAATTATAAAAAATATATCTGGTTAACGGGATCTGAGGTAAGGAATAAGCTATTTTGTTGGTACTGCGTATTATTTTCAACCAATAAGTCATCATGTTGGGGGCGATTAGGATATAATGATTTGAAATATTTGCCTCGCGGATTGAATAGACACTGCATATCACAGGAACACATCTCTTCGAGTATTAAGTTCAGGTTAACTGGTGAACAGAATGTCATTGAAGCTTTTGATTTGGGTGAGTACTTGAGTAGAGAGTTGTTCTTCACAATAGGTAAATCTCATATCATTCAGCCTCCTCTGTCATGAAAGTCACGAGCCGCCACTGATAAACAGTGAAAATAATGTGTACCTTTCGAAAAAAAAATGGAACGATTGGAACCTATGGAGAGGTTGGATAGTACACACGAAGAACTTGTTTTTGTGCAGAGCCCACTAGCTCCTTGCGATCAGCTGCAGAACAGATGAGAATGTATCGTGAAACTGTGAGAAGCGCACTGAAAATGAATCTCTATAAAATGCTGATTCTTCAACAGCTTCATGAGGATGCGTTCATGATATAGGAATATGATTTTTTTTAACCATATCTCATCAAGTCAATGCTTTCATTAGTATATTCTTAAATATCGGTTTCAGAGATGAATGCTCATTTTTTCTGAAGGCATATTTTTCGAGAAGCACATACACAATACTCACAAAAAGTTAATGATTTGGGCTGGTATTCTTGTTCCTTTGTTTATTGAATAATTCTCGATTCTCCGATCTTCAAATCGAACATACTATTTAACCAAATTTTTTCAACAAAATCAGATGAACGGTTCCTGAGATATTTGGCCGTTTTCAGACTTTTGCCCAACCAGTATAAAATGAGTCATACTGCGTCTACTGTCTACTACAAAGAGTCATCACCTGTGTGATATATCCAATGCCCAAAAGTGCTTTGGGAAATGCAGGCTCCAAGGCCAGCGCAGAACTCAATCTCTCAAAGGCTTGTTGGCTCTGACCTTCTTTCAAATGTAATATGCCAGATTCTGTTAGCATATTCGCGCTATCAGGACAGGAGCTGAAAATTATTCAAAAAACAATGTTTTGTATCAGTGATTCACCTCAAGTATTAAATAATACAGCTCAATTATCCATGCTCAACGGGACCGGACGTGGCTTGGATAACTGAAAAGCACGAATAATCCATGCGAATTATAACTGTAGAGGACATTGCTAGGTCGGTGCGACGATGCGACAACCGAGTCACCCGCAATGTCCGAGATGGTGTTAAATCGCTGATAATCGAGTTACATTCAAAGCTTTCTCGTATCCGTATCATTGACAACTACGATGTGAAAATAAAATCAACATGGTGCGGCGAAACTATTTTAAATCTCGGGGTTTTTGGGTTAGGGTTCACACTGTATATATTTGCGGCAAAGAAACGAGCCGAGTCAAAGAAACCAGTTTTATTTTTCCCAAACTTGCTAGGTATCTGCAAACTGACAGATCAAACTTTAAATTTTGCCACGTGACTGATTCACAATTAAATTGAAGAAAATTAGGAACTTAGCAGAGTCCAGTACTTAATTGTTATAAAACGTTTTTCTACTCACATAACTAAAATGGCATTTAGCGTACAGATTTGTACCACGCAAAATGATCGATTAATCACGGATATTGTCGATCTGTGATTTATTCAAAATATTAAACACGTTACCATGGCAACACGATTTCTTAAACACATCACCATGGCCACACAGTTCATTAAACACAGCTCCAGTAATTTGAGACATGTCTGGCCTGTCAATTGTATCAACTGTCAACTGTTATTTTCAAATTTTGTATCAGAGTTATTGAAACAATATTCGTTTGTATCAGAATTCTTCATGAAAAATATATGCGAAATGTAGACGAAAGTGAAATTGAAGAAAATGTTTCGGTTCTTGCATATCTCCAAGAAGTGAAAAAAATGAGGCATCGGCATCCATCTTTGAGAACAATATATTTTTTCTGCGCTAAGCATGACAATAAACGTGAAACAAAGTTTAGTAAGCAATGGACTGGACAAATCTACAACCAATATCACTTATACGTGTCTCGCTGGTTGCATGCAGTTTCATGTATTATGTTCTCAATTCCCATTCCTTTCGAATTATTTTGTAGGTTAGCAGGAATAGCAGGTCTGTTAATGTAATTTTCGGAGTTCGTAGAAAAAGCATAGTATGTAACGCGTTTATAAACTCTTCTAGACACTCGTTTATTAAACACTCGCTCCGCTCTGCTCCGCTCGTGCTTAAAATACTCGTTACTAAAAGGACGTTTATATCACTTGTTACATAATATACTATATTAGCATCAACTCACCTGACAGATCAGGCACACTGCTTCTCAAATAAACGTATTTCAGCCCAGTTGGAAACCACAAAATTTTATTCAATATCAGAAACTTCGCTGGTTATAAAAGGAATTAATAATCGTGGGTGACACTCTCTGATACGCAATGAATCCAAATTCACTAGGACCACGAAGAACGACAATTTAGTGAAAAAAGTGAACAGACTTTTTCGACGCTCTAAATAAAAACTGGCGTAGGTACCACACGGCAAATAGTAAACCGAAATATTTAGCTCCAGTGCAAGCCAAATCCAGAAATGAAAAGGATGAAATTGGAAGATTGTATGCAACTCTATATCAGTTTCGCTACAATGGTTGTATGTCATTTCATTTTGGTATTTCAAAAAGTCATCATTAAAATCATGCAAGATTTTGATATTCCTGACGATATATCAGTAATTAGTTCTTCAATCCTACTTTGTCAAGTATTATGAATAATTCCCATACATTTCTCATTGGCTGAATGAAGTTGGTTACGAATGAAGATAAATTATGATATTTAGCGATAGTATCTATGATTTTTCACTATCGTTATATTACAAAATGTTATTATAACTTGTCAGTCATTTTTTTGCTAATGAATTCGTTTCTTAATGAAACGGATCTATTTCCGTTGCAGATTATATCTTGCAACAGCGCCTGATACTTCGAGTCCGTCCACACCACTCAAAATACTGACAGGCACAACAAGAGGAAGGAGCCATGGATGTCGGCTTCATTCTGTTCTGACCGATGACAGTTGATCAGGAAGGATAGTATTGATCGTAGCCGTTAGTGATTCATTGATTCAATGATATTTTCGTTTAGGATTGAGCTCATATAACCTGTCAGAATGAAGCCAACTACCCTCTGCATTCCTGCTCTGAGTGCATTTGTGATTATGTATGTTTTTGTTTGCCAGTTTTACTCACTTCTTCTATTTTTTTCATTCGTTTTTCATTCGTTAGTTATTCATCAGCTATTGGCTCGCTATATTCTTCACCATCAGCTATTTTCAGACTAGATTCAAAATGTACGTCACAGTTTGCCGCCCCGAAAATTAGAAATTGCTTTAATTTGAAAATGAAAACGACTTGGACTTTATCAATTGCCATTCTATACAGCGTGGACATCAAACTGGAGAGTTCCGAACTTATTTTAAGGAAATTCATCTGAAGGAAACTTCTCTGTGAAGTGTCCGGTTCCGCTGGCAAAAGAGCATAAGCAGTTGAAACTCCTTTATTTCCATTTAGAACGATGTATAGGTATTTTTAGCTGGATCGTGATGTGGGTAGAGGAATATACGTTTATATTTCACAATGGCATAAGCAAACCTATCTAAATTATATAGATAGAGGGTGGATACTTTAACTGGAATAAATTCGCCACTGGGGGAGTGAATGATTTTTCTGAAAATTCGCGGGACATGTCAACGTTCAAATGTATTTGCCTACATTTGGCGAGCAATATGAAGAATATAACCCTTCAGGGGTAGCTGTAATCAATCCCAACATGTTTCTTTCAAATGCAACCCTATGGCTTGCGACCCCTCATTGAAAAGCTGGTTGAAAGAGAATTCCAGCGTACTGATCATATTTCAGTTTGCGGTACGTTTGGGGGTCGCATAATATCATTAATATCAAAATATAATATCAAAGTTTGATATATTTTCAACGTATTTTCATCATAATTCCGACTTTCAGTGACAGTTATATAGGGCATCTCCACCAGTTTGCAATAACACTTCGTTTCGAACTGTGAATACGACAAAAAAACAAAATTTCTTTTTGCGGCTCTATAAAAACACTGGAATACAATAGCAGATAGCAGTTGTGGCAAAAAATGGCCATCAATTGTTCAACAACCATTTTGAGCGATTTTAAGGTGAAAAGAAATTGAATTCTGAAATAACATTTCAAATATGTGCAACCTTTAAATGTATGAAGATTTGATTAGTACGCTAGATTCCTCTTTCCACCAGTTTTCCAATGAGGGGTCACAAGTCATAAGGTTGGTTACATTTGAAAAAATCATGTTGAGGTAGGTAAATACATGGTGGAAATATTATATGGTGTGCTACTCAGGTATCTTGAATTCGTCTTTTGTGCGCATTACGTCATTGCGAGTCTATACTCGCACCAAAATGATCACGGCGACTAGGGCGAATTGATAACTGTGAGCTCAGACTACGAGCAATTGTTTTACTCGCAGTGACGTATACGAAGATGCGTCATAGCACACCATACTATAATTTCACCAAGGGTAAAAACATTAAATCGTTGACGTATGCAGGGAATTTTCAGAAAACATATTCACCTCCCCACTAACGAATTTATTCCAGTTAAATTCTCCACACTGTAGTTCGTTCGCTTGTAAAATTGATGGATACTGTCAACATCCATTATCGTCATCGGCATAATATAGTCGCCAAACAATTTGAATAATAAGTAAATCTTCACATCATATCATATTTATAGGAAGTTCATCGATGACAACTCTGCAAATAGAACTCACATGAATAATTAATATATTTTGTCTATAATCAAGTTGTTATGAAGTTGTCTCGCTCTAAATACCTATATCAGACTCGAACAGCAATTCCCACCAAATAACATATACAGTGTATGAGCTTGTTCCAAACCCCTTGAATCGACCAAGTCATTATAATTTGGGACCGAATGAAACTCATACGAAGTGTTGCTGGGGTCATGGTCAGCAAAAAAGTAGGGGGCGGCATCATGAGGAGGTAGCTTTCCAATATGGCGGCTGTTCAGAATAGCTGACGAATCTGAATATTTCAAATCAATTATCTCAGGAATCGGTAGATCAATCTGGTATTTCTTTTCGTCGAAAGTAGGTTATAATATGAGAAAGGAAAATATCCGTTTTCGGCAACCGTCCGGGAAGTGCTCACTCCCCGGACGCTTTTTCTTTGAGAAAGTAGCATTTTTCCGGCATAGTCCGGGAAGTAAGTACTTCCAAGACTAGGCCGGGAAGTATCACATCGTTGTTGTCACTGTAGCTATGAAAATCTTGGTAGATAAGGTTTAGATTAGATTAGATTAGATTTGGAATGGGGCCTTCGGGCTATCTGCCTCCACACTGCGACCTTTTCAGATCTATTGTGTCTGCCCTCAAAATCGATCAGAGTTCTTCGGCTAGCCCCGCCTTCTCTATGAGACTCCATAGGCTAGCTTCCAGATCTCCTGTGTATCTCTGGGCTCCTGGTTTTTCCTCACCCAGCGTAAGGAACCTTAGTCTTGACAAGCCCTCACAGTGGCAAAGTACCTATGTGTACTGCTGTTTCTTCCTCTTCTTGACAGAACCTGCACAGCAGTTCTTCAGTCAGACATATCGTACACATGTGTTTGTTGAGCCTACAATGCCCTGTGAGAAGTCCCACTAGTATTCTAGTTGAACTTCTAGTCTTTCCTGCTCGGGCAAGTGAGTCTGCCTCTTCATTGCCCTCGTACCCTGAATGTGCTGGTACCCATGCTAGAGTCAATCTGTTCTGACTGCCCAGTGCATTTAGGGTTTCTAAGCAGTCCCATACTAGTTTTGAGTTAACTTGCATAGAGTTGACTGCTTTGATTGCCGCCTGGCTATCTGAATAGACTGCAATGGTTCTGCCTTTGAACTCTTGCCTTATCAATTCTTTCACGCAATGATATATTGCAATAATTTCTGCCTGAAACACAGTCGCGTGTTTGCCTAAGCTCAGTGAGATTCTTGTCTTTGGCTTGGCCCCATAAATACCAGCTCCTGGTTTTAATAAATGCAGATGATAATTACCATAGCAGTGAAATGTCGGTTGACAGCTATTTGACATGAAATTAGTTGACCTTTGGATTTCTGAAAGTTTGGTTGCAATTATCGCAGAGCAGCAGCGATAGTGAGTTTGAAAATGTCCATACGAAATGTCCAATGTAGCAGTTAGTAGGTATAGGTATTCTGTTCAAATTTCAGTATTTGATACAAATAAGAATTAATAAAGAAGACATTGTATTCCACAAAGAAATATTATATGGAAATATGTCTCATTGCATTGTTATTCTTCATATGGTTGCCGAAAAAATTGTGCACGCAACATGTCCAAAAACAATTTTTTTTGGACTCGCAGACTTCCAGGAATCGCCTACGGCTCGGCCTAGAATTTGGTCTATTGTGTCCAAAAACAGTTTTTTCCGGACTTGTTACGTAAATTACTATTCTGCATAAGTAGACTACTTTTCCTAAACAATCTGACCTAACTCGGCCTAATATATAGGTATATAAGTAGGTTATAATATGAGGAAGGTAAATATCCTTTCTGCATAAGAAGGAGACTACTTTTTCTAAACAATCTGACCTAAATCGATTATGCAGGCAAGTATTGTAAAACCCTTAGCAATTGACATGGTTGGGACCGAATTTACTAACCGATAAAAGGGTATAAATTTTTTATGACCTGTACAAATAACCCCTCAATCATACTTACTCAACAGCAGCGTTCGCTACAGCAATAGCGGATTTGTGATCTCCTTGTGAGACGAGGATTTTCATCAAAAGTGCATAGCAGGATTCTTGTTTGCTGACTTGAACTGCTCTATGAGCATACTCTTTGGCTTTATTGATATCGCCCAGTTTCAGGAAACATATTCCTGTAACGAGTAAAGCAAAGTTTCCATGCGTAAATCTGTCGAATAACTACTGAATATCCCATGATTAATGAGGGATATATTATGTAGGTCTATTTTGTACGAAAAAAACGTCAGCATGAATTATTTATGGTTTTCACAAAATGATGAATTGATTTTCTCCCTTATGGACTTCCATAAGACTTCAAATATAGGGTCAAAGGTGGTCACGGATTTTAAAATAATTGTCGGGGCCATGTTGGGGTGATTTTCTACAAAAAATAATTTCAGCAAGAATTTTTCTATATTAATATTGGTCGAAATGGCATACTATATCGATAACAAGCTCTCAGCATACACTAATTTTCACACTTTAACTACACCGAAATACAAAAATGATATGGCATTAATGGCATTATCGATGTGGGACACAAATAATATTTTTTTTTTTAAATCATGTTTCTCTGTTGTGTGTGACTCATTGTGAATAACCTTCACCACATCTCTTTTATTCACGAGGTAAAATAAAAAAACAATTTCAATTCGAATTTTTTCGAAAAAATTACATTCGGCATGAAGATTGCACTTGTTTTGACCTGTTGAACTTGAATAGGTTGAAATATACAGGGTGTTCTATTTTTCATTTCATTTTCTTCTCTTTCAATAATACTGCAACCTGGCTATGTTTGGTGATATGTTATTCATCTATAGTGAAATCTGATACCTACCAAGATGATAGTAAATCTGCCAATCTGGTGTGTGGGAAGCAGATTCCGCTTCCAAGTAAGCTTCCATGGATAGTTTGAACCTACGCATTTCGAACCTGAAATCATTATAATTACCATATTATATTACATATTCAAATATTTTAATGATTGTTTGAAACTAACAGAAACTAAATATCTTGAATCATCTAGAACTGAAATTCAGGGTGTTCAACAATGAACATTGAACATAACGATCCCTGAACTTTGAGAACCACCAAAGGAAAATGATTTTGAAAATCAGATTGTGATAATGTAATAAACGATTCTACTTATGTATCAATAATGATGGCGTGAACCGAGATTTTGTTATGGACCCAAACGTCATATCAACAGGATGATTTTTCACCACCATTATACCCTTTTTGAAATAATTACATCAATTTAATAGGTGGGCGTTTTTCAAAAAAATCTATCGAACTGATCAGAAGTCATAAATGAACACAAGAAAAGCGATCATGAGCATTATTTAGGGGGGACAGAGGAGTAGGGAAGTAGGGGGGGAGGGAGCAATTGCCCTCCTGATTTTGTTCAAAATAATTATTTCCACTTGGAATCTTTCTCTAGGTATCAATGAAAAAAATAAAGATTTTCGATTTGTTTATGCGAAACTACTGAGACTTCTCAAATTTTATATTTTGCTATGTTTCAAAGTGCTCGTTTCAACAAAAATAATTTTCAGTTTTCTGCAACTTCCGGTCACACAAAAAATGGACCTCAACTTCGATATTTTGGAATGAATGTTCCACGATGTTCTCCGAAAATTATGGGGATTCCCTTTCGTGCTTCGCAAGAGATGAAAAAAATCTACGCTGAATTCCAAAGTAACTTAATACAGAACATCAGATATCTAGTGTAGGTAGGTACGCTATATATTTATTCAAAATATTTCGAAATTTTGGTTTGAATAATTAAAGAACTTTATATGTGCAAATCTACGAATGCGTTAGAAGGGCCACATTGAAATAAAATATATAATTTCTCAGAATTAGTATGATTTCGAAGTTTTCAACTCAGAATTAGTATAATTCCGACTTTGCAGCTCAGAATTAGTATAATTTCGACTTTGAAACTCAGAGTTAGCATACTTTCGACTTCGTAACTCTGAATTCGTCAGAATTAGTATACTTTCGACTTCGTAACTCGGAATTAGTATAATTTCGACGTTGCAACTCAGAATCAGCATACTTTCGACTTTGTAACTCTGAATTCGTCAGAATTAGTATAGTTTCGACTTTTCAACTCAGAATTAGTATAATTTCGACTTTTCAACTCAGAATTAGTATAATTTCGACGTTGCAACTCAGAATTGGCATAATTTCGACTTAGTAACTCTGAATTCGTCAGAATTAGTATACTTTCGACTTCGTAACTCAGAATTAGTATGATTTCGACTTCGCAACTCAGAATTAGTATAACTCCTACATCACAACTGAGAATAATTAGTATAATTCCGAGTTCACAAATCAGAACTAGTATAATTTCAACTTCACAACTCAGAATTACTATTATTCCGAGTTCACAACTCAGAATCAGTATAATTTTGAGTTCACAACTCAGAATTAGCCAAATTTCGAGTTGAAAATTCAGAATTAGTATAATTCCGAGTCAACTACTCAGAATTAAATTAATTTCGATCTATCAACTCAAAATTAGTATAATTCCCATACAGCACATGGACTTCCTATATTATCAGGATATTCATATTGTATCCAACGGATATCCTATGGATGTCCAGTGGATGTCCTCAGGTCAATAATCTAGACATTTATAAGATGTCCGTAAGGAACATCTTATGGACGTCCATATTTGATATCTTATGGGCATCCAGGTTGGTGGCCTATGGATATCCACTGGACGACCATGGGATATCCTTTGAATAATATTTCGACGTCTATTGGATATCCAAAATATTCTGAATGGATTTCCTCTGGACATCCCTCAGATGTCCATGTGTCATTTGATATATCCTTTTTGTGTGAAACCCTCCATAGAAATCATGTAAAAATTTACGAATTGGGGCTTGAAACGATGAAGAATAATAATATGAGGTTTTTTTCTGCAAAAAATTCTTCATTTTAATCAAAACGCACGGTACTGTCCAAAATGATGTTCGTCTCTGAAAAGTTGATCATATTGATGATTATTCACATCGGTTCAAATTTGATAAAAGTCGCCTGACTAATAGCTGAGATATAGTGCAATTTTCGGCAGTTTGACCAGGAATAATTATGAAAATATCATCATTATTACTTAAAAATGATACTCTTGTTCAGTTTCAATAGCACTAACCATTTTCGAGATAAATCGATTTTGAAAGTCTGCTGCGTAACAAGAATAGTGTTTTCTCCTTATAATAAATAGGGTACCAAATTTTCCAAAAAATTATGTTCCTATGGAAAATACCCTTTTTTCATTATCTACTTGTGATGTTTGACTCAAAATATGAGAAGAACAATAAGAAGAATAATTCTAAAAATATTATAGTAGGTACCCTATTAATTATTTAGTTATCTAAACACAAAGGTTTCGAAAATATTTACAAAAAACTATTATCTCAGGCCCTCTTTCATATGGCTATAACTCCCCAGGGGGCATTTCTTGGCTCATGTTTGTATGAACTTTTCTCACTATTTTTGTTCCTAGAATCTGTGGTTAAAATCTTTCAATGTAATTTTGGGACACCCTGTCTATATAATGATGTGATAATGATGATATCACTCTGGAAAAAATCTATCTCTAATTTGAAGGCATCTGATCTTGATTAGCAAAAAAATAGGTCAACGGCATATTTTTTGACCATAAAATCATTTTTCTTCCGGTTTCCTGCTCCACCTGGTATATATACTGAATGACGCTTTCGTAAACGATCACTTCTAATTATTAATTATATTGATATAAAGGGGTATTGTCCACACAGATGAGACGTTATAATATCTTCCTACTTACAGACATTTAGCAACTTCTTTCAAGGCATTGGCGCTCCTAGGAATCAGCTTCAGGCATGCTTGAAAGGATTCTAATGCGTCCTGTAATTTTCCTTCTTCTCGTTCTATCTCCCCCTGGAAATGAAAGTCATTTATTGTGGACAAGAGCATAAAGGAACGTATTATTCACCACAAAAATCGAAGCGAGAAGTAGGTAAGTATACTGCAGGGTGATTGTGAATACCTTTTGAAAGAAACAACCTCATGACGATTCGAAACAGCGATTCTTTCGCAATACCCTTAGTCGAATCATTTTTTGATCGAGTTTTTCAGAGATACACGTTATTGAAATCTTTGTTGAACAATTTTGTACGGGAATAGCGAACCCGATGAGGTAGGTACCCTAGCCGAGTACTCATTAATCTTCAACTTGTCGTGGATGGTATTCCCCTGAAGCCCAACCTCAGTTTGGTGGACATATGTGTGCAATTTTTTTTTATGTTCTGGTTCCCACGAAAAGGGATATCCTGTAATGTTCAGAGAACATCGTGAGGAGCAAGGGAAATAAGGTAGGAATTGGTGTCCTTAAATTTCTGGTGGTTATATGCCTCGGGGAACACCTCCTTTGGCAATGTTCTCCAGAGCCTCGCTGTTCGTTGGATGAACGAGTCTTTGGAAAGAGATGTTCTGCAGGTCTCCAAAGTGACCACGAAGGGGTGCGAAGCTTCTACTCGACGGGTTAATCTCGCGGGGACTGTCAAGGGAGGAACAATTGTTGATATTTCAGAAGAGCATCGTCCATGAAAATATCTATAAAATAGAGCCAGAGTTTTAGGGCATGTTCGGGTGCTGTACTCCAAATGTGGGAACAGTATTCCAGGGCAGGTCGGATCTGTGCCTTATAGATCATAAGCAGCTGACTGGAAGTGAAATAGCTCCTGGCCCGAAACAAAAAACCAAGTTTTTGGGATGCACTTCTAGCAATTGATCTCACGTGATTTTCCCAAGAAAGGCTATTGCTGATAGTAATACCAAGCATCGAAATGGATGTCTTCAAAGGTATGGTTACTCCTGACAAGCTTATGTTTATGTTGGGCACAGTGAGATTGGCTTTTCTAGAGAAAAGGCATGCTTGTGTTTTGTTTGCATTGAAATCTACCAAGTTATTAGATCCCCATTCGAGAATTGTTGCCAAGTCCATATTTATGTTGTCAAAATTTCTCCCTCGTTCGTTTCTGATTTACCTGGCTGGTATTGGAACCCTGGAAGAGAAGGCGGTATAGAGGGTACTATCATCCGCGAAGCTGTGTACTGGACATGAGGCAATTCGTGAACATCAGCTTATGTGGCAGTGGATTGATGAACGAGGATCTGGCAACCTAATCCAAGTTATTGTAGGTGTCCGTGACGAGGTTGTATGGTAACGATAACGGAACTTAATACAGGGCGACATCTGAGGGTTATTCCACAGTGCTGGACTAACCCCTTCCCCCAGAAGGAGAAGAAAAACTTTTGGCCTTCTTCCTGGTCGAGATCAGCGCTCGGAAGAGTTGTCTTCAGGAACCTGAACTACAAGGGTCTTTCAAACGAATCTCTGGTACTGTGAGAGGCAGTGCTCACAGTTACTGTGACGGTATTTGAAGTGGCCCTCAAATGAGAACCATGGGTCGTATATAGGTATATGGAGGTATGTATACAATGGTACAATAGGCCAACAGGCTTCTGGAGTGAAGTGTTTAGTGCAGGGATGCACAAACCGTGGCCCGCGAATGAATGTTGAAATTTCAAAATCGATATAATGCAATGTCATGTATCAAAATGATTAAACAAGAAATATCACATTTTAATAATTTGATTACATTACGATTACATAATTACAATAAACATTTTTGAATGTTCCTTCATTTTTGTCATTCGTAGTAATTCATACTATAAAAAAATATATATATTTGTGTCAATATGTATTCTTTGTAGTATGGCCTGTCCTTGACTTATAATTTTCACGAGTGTTCCCTGTTCCCTATCAGCCTATGCATCCCTGAGTATAGGAATCACGGGGGCTATAAAGTCAACGCCAACCGCAGCCATGGAAACACTACTGGATCTGCCTCCCCTCCATTTGATGGTACAGGGGGAGGCGAGACTTGGTGCCCTAAGACTGCAAAATACACTGGGCAATGTTAACATAGGAACAGGACATATGAGCATCGTCAGAATAGTGAACAGGGACATACTTAATATGAGAACAGATCACATTTCGAAACGATATATATTTGACACTTCATTCAGAGTGTCCATACCAGACAGATCTGAATGGAATGACGGAGAACTCAGCACCATACTGCAGGGAAAGATCTGGTATACAGACGGGTCCAAGACTGCGAATGGGTCAGGAGCAGGAGTATACTCCAAACATCCGGAAACTAGCCTCAGCTACTCATTGGGGAAGTATGCTTCAGTTTTCCAAGCAGAGGTGTACGCAATTCTCCAATGTGCGGAAGAAAATAACAGGAGAGCTGTGGAAAACGAGCAGATCCGTATTATGTCAGACAGTCAAGCGGCACTTAAGGCAATGGAAAGCCAGGAAGTGACATCTCGACTGGTATGGGATTGCAAGAGGGAACTGAGAACTTTGGCAGACCGGAACTGCGTCAAGCTAATCTGGGTGCCAGGTCATCAGGGGATCGCTGGCAATGAGAAGGCTGACGAACTTGCAAGAAGAGGGTCGGACAACGAGCCAGATCCAGGACAGACTCTTGGAGTACCAAAACGTACAGCACGAGTGTCAGTTAAAGACTGGATTCAGGCAAAACATAAGAGCTACTGGGAAAACATCCCAAGAAACAGACATGGGAAACAATACATTAAGGAACCAAGTCATAAACGAACTGTAGACCTGCTCAACTTGAACAGAGCACAGATAAAAACTGTTACGGGACTCATGACTGGCCACGCGCCAGTAAAGAAGCATCTCACCAGAATGGGACTGTACAATGGCGACCCAAGCTGCAGACTATGTGGCAAGGAACCAGAAACAGTAGCACATATACTGTGCCGATGTGAGGTATTGGACCGCAGAAGACAGAAGATCTTTGGGCAACCAGTTGGCGAACCAGAAATATTCAACTCACATCCAGTGAAGGATTTGTACAGACTTGTTCAAGGTACAGAGATAATGGAGTGGGCACAATAAAGAACATTAGGTAAGATACAATGGGCCACCATAGGCCTAAGTGTCGTCGGAGACATGGTCAGACGAGCCTACAAACGGGGTGGAGTTTTTAGTGGGTAAACCCTGACTAGAGTCAGGGGAGTCTCACACTACCATATGGGGGATAGGACCCATATGGTGTCCATAAAGGATTTAAACCATCTCGATAAAAAAAAATCCCTGAGTTCAGTGGGTACACCTAGATGTAGGGACTCCCAAACTATCATAAAGGGAATGGTCCTTCGTGGTATCCATTAAGGATTTTGACCACCTCCAAAAAAAAATAGCAATTTCAGGAAAAAGAATATGTATGTCCACTCACATTCATCACCCTGCAATATACTTCTATACCTTCAGGGACTCCCTTTGTCCAACGACGCAAAGTCATCAGGATACATGGCCAGGATGAAAATTCAGAGTTGCACGATCCACGACTGTACGAAAATGTAATTCTCTTCTTGAATATTTTTTTATCCAATCGAGATGCCAGTGGCGTCGTTGAAAGTTTTTCAGGCTATATTCCGAATTCAACTGGTCAGTACTGTCAGTAGATCCACTGAATCTGCTGAAAATCTGTGTTCCGAAATATAAAATCAAAAATACAGTGCTTTAATTCGGGACACGTTTTCATGGTTTTCATCAGTAGTCAGCAGCAGTTGATCAGCTGGTGAGATTTGTCAGTCTGTAGTTTCTCGTTTATCTGGACTAGATATTCAATATTTAACATGGAAGAGCAATCGATTCTTGTAGCCTCCATAGTTTCTAAGATTATTGACTATGACGATTCAAGCTCGAGTGATGAAGAGAATACTTGGACATTTTGTTGCCATTTATTTTTAATGATGCACCAGATTGAGAATTGAAAGATTCATGGAAAACGTAATGATGACGAATTTAGTAGACATCCCAGGTTTATTTAGTGATTTATTTAGCCAATGCTGCTTCTTGTTTCGAAACCTCTACTACTTCATACTCCATTTTATTCTCAGCATATTATTTGAATAGCAGCTATTTTCTGATATTGAAAATAATATCATAAACAATGGAAATGAATGTTACATTCCTTCCCCCTCTGAAATAATGACAGTTCACTGAAGCCACACTACCTTTTGATACTCAGCAATTTCAGCAGAATGTTGAGTCGAAATATTTGGAATGGATAGTATGTCTGCTCACGAGAATCTGTCACTTTCAGTGATTTTTTTGATTATGGAATGAAAAATCAGCAGATTCAGTACTGTCAGTTGAATTCGGAATATAGCCTATAAATACGAAATTGACTATTCAAGATTGATTATATCTACGGGGCGTAACATATTATACTCACCTTTTTGTGAAGTGCAAAAACGTTTCTTCCAACACTTCTCTCGAGTTCGGCTTGAATAAGTGTTTTACACACCTGTATTTCTCCTCTCACATGTTGTAGGTGAATCAACCAATTGTATTTCTCCAGAGGAGAGAATTCTTGAACAACACTTGTTATTCCTGATGTAACTTCTATAAAAAATAGCAGAATATCGGAAAATATGACACAATTGACAACGAAAACTTTTGCATTTGAGCCAGTATCAATAGTTATTTATTATACAAGGGAAAAAAGTAGTAGATTTTAGCTCCAGGTTGTGTTGTCTCCCGACGCGTAGCGGAGGGAGACAAAAAACCGTGAGCTAAAATCTGATATTTTTCCCGTGTACAATACACTATTTTTTTCTGTGACAGAAGGAAGGACGAATCAATATTGAGAAGATATTACATTATTTCGAAATCTGAAAATTATCGACGTGAAATTTCAAGTTTTTAGTAGTAGGGACACCTGCGTTTTATAGGCATCTTTCATTTTGACCTATCAGCTTAACCTCCTTCTTTCTGAAGACCTCGGAATGGCTAATAGATCGGTACATTCGTGACGGTAGCTTCTCAAGTT